CAAGGACTAATTAAAAGAAAGAATGACGAAGAACAACGCTGACATGTTAAGGCTTGATGGAGCAGAAAAATAACTGCATGTACCAGTTTAGGAGTGCCATGTATACACTGCCAGGGCTGGGAATTTATTCTTAGAGCAAATGTCCTGCTACTTCCTTCCCGTCTGTAATAAGCCGGGAATTTTGCTGGGAACGTCACGCCCCCCTTCCAGACAGAACATTGGCCTTGTTACTAAACGGCTCTTTCCCTCTGTGTGAATAAAACAAAACATGGAAAGTCTCCAGTGACCTAACGGCGGGTCAACGACCTGTGTTAGAGTACACAGTGTGCTGAGAAAGAGACGGTTACAATAACTTCTGCTTGGGCGAGGCAACGACACGTAGCTGCTGTCTCACAGCAGCCAGAGTGAGCTGGCAAAAAGTATGTGAATACTGCAGCATTATCACACATATGAACATTCATAAACACACACTTAAAACCAAGTTACATGACATTAAGATTTAACTGAAATACTTCTAATTACTTCATAATATCAGATTCTAAAATGTACAGCATTTTCATCACCTCTCACAGTTAATGCAAGAATACCTGCTTCTTGTTTCAGCAAAACTATTGCATTGCATAACAAAGTGGAAAGGTCCAACTTTTGCAAAACTGAAATGATTAATCGATTAATCGATCACTGGAAGATGAATCAGTAACAGTTTTGATCAACTATTGATTGTTCAATTCACTTTTTGAGCAACAATTCCAACCGCTCTGTCTCCAGCGTCTTCAGGGTTAGAATCTATTGCTTTGCTCTGTTTTATATCACTAAACTGAATATCTTTGGCTTCTGGACTGTTGTTGAGTTGTCACTTTGGAGTTACATAAACTGATGTTTCACTTTCAGATGATTAATCAAAAAATAAAACAAATCTGCAGATTAATCGATAACGAAAATAACCGTTAGTCGCACCCCTAAGCTCTCGCATGAAATTCCCATTAATGAAATGTGCGCTACAATGCAGCTATCGTGCACACTGACATAGCTATGGTAATACATCCATAAATATAAAAAATAAAAATTCATCAATGAAATTCTTGGGTAAAAGAGAAGAGGGAGGTTCGTAGCTGTGAATCCTAAACCTGCACAGCTGGTCACAATCAGACCAGGTGATTAAATCCAGTTAAATCATTGATTAAAGCAGTTTCACGTTAAAAATCTGTGTTTTCTCGATTGTTTGGCAGACACAGGACCGCTGCTAACGTTTGCTCAGCTTGTTTCTCTGATTAACTTAAGATCCAGATGTCTGATGATTAAAACTGTTCATCCAGTTAAAAAAAAAAAAAAAAAAAAAAAAGATCTAGAGGTGTGTTGTAAAAATGTGGTCAATTTTGACACAATGCAGAAAGTTGATATGACGTCATTGACAGGCAAGCAAATGATGAAATCACAGATTTACCTGGTTTGAAAAATGCTGCAGGATGATGCAAGTACACAACTCAACATAATATCTAACAGAGTGTAGTTGTTTTTAGACATTTTAATGCAACTATACATATTCAACCTTTAAGTGGGACAGACTGACTCTTTCACGCAACTAATATGTTTGTTTTTAGTGCCGTATGTAGCCTTAATCTTCTCTAAGACACCACGGGACTAAGAGTCTGAGATTTGCATATACTCACATTTAAAGACGTGTGTAAGCATCAACTTTCAACAAGTATGATTTAATTACAGAGCGAGGAAATAGGTTAACACATTTTCAGCCGCCTGATGTGGGAATTGGGATCCTCAGTCAGGCTGTTATGGCTCAGCACATACTGAGCTTATCAACTCAAAAGCTGCTTCAGCACCTTTAAAGGACATTACCAGGACCGATGCGTCTGCTTTACATTCAAACCAGATTAAACAGGGGAATGTGTTGACGTCCATATACAGATAATTGTAGGAATAAGTGGAAGGCCTGTGTGTAATTCAAAACAGCAGATGTAACACGGAACAGTGTTTACAGGGAATCTCACTACAGAGAACTGTGTATGCAGATTTCTGCAGTTTGCATAAAGTTTTGTGGCACCTGGCGGCCGACAGGTGTTTCCAAGGAAAAAGGTTCTCGCGGTGGCCATTGGTGGCCTAAATGTGTGGAAAATTAAAGAGCACCACCCACTCAAATGGAAATTAAAAATAAACCTGACAGTGCAGGCTACACTGGGTGACAAGTGGTCTCTGGGAAGTGTAGTGCAAGAGGCAGCAGAGCAGTTACAGCTCAGCACCAAACATGGAAACAATATAGCACTAAAAGCAGAGGAACTAAGGCTTATTTACAGTATTGCCCTGAGACACATGTAGACGTGGTTTGCTCACAGTCGCTTATGCTGATAGCGGAAAAGAGCTGAGCGGACACCCTCAGGGTGCTCGGCACAAATACATAAACAGGTTCTGTATATTCAAATAGAGCACAGACTGTAGGCTAAGATTTAATTAAAGACTCTGTGAAGCTCCAAGACAAACTGCAAGCCTCTAATTCTTCACCAGTGAAGCAGCTCTAGAAGTTCTTTTGATGTTTAAGTACTTTTTGGTCTTTTTGTTTTTGCACTTGAGAACTTACTCAACTTTTCAATTTGACAAACTCTTGTGTCTCTTGTACACAGTGTCACTTCAGACTGCGCCTATCTCTGCATCTCAGGGTCACACTTCTGAGTATTCACGACTTCTAACGAGTAACTTCGGCTGAGCATTCATGTTAAAGATAAACTTGTGCGTCAGCTGACTTCCCAGAAACTGTTGCTTTTTTTAAAATCAAGGGGCGGGCTGTTGCTACGGGGAAGTGGAGAGGCTCACAACCAACCAATGGCTTCAGAAGGACGTTCCTCTAAGCTCAAGTTACCAAACTGCAAATAAAAGTGCAGCAGGAAGCCTCTGCATGAAGAAAACTTTAGCAATAAATCACAATGAAATAGGGGCTTATATAATTCTGAACCTAATCTGAACTATTTTGTAAAGTTTTCTCTAGCATTTCTCTAATGTGTGTCAAGACAGACTTCCTTATTTGGAGCCAGTAAAAAGGCTCAGATCCTCAAAAACTGCAGAGAACTACTTGTTTAGTTTTAAAATCCAAAAGGAATTAAAGTTGACGAATCCTTAGTGCACAGAAACCCTAAAAAGGTAATTCAAATAAAAAAATGAGGACATGTCCAACCCTGAATAATACTGTTCTTTCCGGATCAGGGCGTACCTGGCAAATTATCTAAACAATCAATACTCGGTATCTGAATGTGAAGTATGTGTGCAGACAATAGTTTCAAAACCACTCCTTAAAAACTATCCCATGGTAGGAATGCCTTCACCTGCTTAACAGTTTCTCACAGCTGCATTGCCTTGACAGTGCAGAGGCTCCACTCTTACATTAGACAAGTTTGTTCAACCACAACAGCTGATTTACATTTTTTTTTTTTTTTTTTAAGCAAAACAAACTGCAGCAGAAAAATGTGAAACGCTTGTAGTAGGCCCTGCAGTTTTCTTGTCAGAATAAAGTTTCTAAAGTCATTTCTTTCTGCTGTGAAAAGATAACTTACCACCTAACCATAGTGAGCATAACCACAGTGAGAATGTGTTTAAAACTTCTGCCTTAATAGCCTTATGGACACATTCAACCACAACCGTTTCATTTTCAGTTTGACACACAGTAGGCTGTAGATTTTGAACCCTACTTTACACCATGTAGGCCTGTGAATGACATGTAGATGTCATAAAAGCTTTCCAAGAGTTAACCTGGTGATGTCCAGCCCTGACCATCAAGTTTTCACTTTTGGTTCCACCGATTTTCATTAGATTTACTTTGACACAGCTCAAGTTTCTGAGTGCGCAGCTAAGTTTCAGTTATCACATCCTCCTTCTGCTATTTGCATATCTTGACATACTGGTCACTGATAGACAATCTAAAACTAACACACTCCTTCACACAGATGGAATTCATATTATATTAAGTTAAAAATTGCACTACTAAACCGATTACCACCATCAAGGTTGTTCAGAGATCTAATGCACTTTTCGTATTCAGTCCCAAAACACTGCAGTGCTGCACCCCCCTCCAATCAACTTGTGTATGGTGAAAACTGCTCTATGAAATTGCCTCATTCTCAATTCCCCATTGTGTAGCAGCCTGTTATTCGCATTGAAGTGTGCAGGGGTAACCAGGGTGGTGGCTAACATCATTAGCCCGCAGGAGAGGACTAGGGGAGGTCTGCTGTGGATCATCACCATGGAGAGGCTCAACTCCATTTCCTCCTAAGACCTTGATGAGTGTTATGTTTGTCCCGTAACCCAAGACAACAGGAGGATCTGAACAAACATGAGTGCAGGCACAAATCATCACCAAGGATTTCCCTTGCTTGAGGCTTGGTATGGTCTGTAAGATTTAGGTTTTAGATGGCATGAAGAGCAAAAGTATTCTGCAGTTTTACAAGCAAAGCAGGGTGGAGCTATTTTTGTCTAGTTGGTTCTAGAAACCTTCCTGACTGCATCCATATCCTTTCATCCATATGATAAACATTTAAATACCCAATCAAATGGATCATATTTGATTAAGTCACCAGTTTCTAGGCAACTACAAAAAATTGCAATCCAGGAAGCAGACTATGTTATGCAACTTTGAGGATGTTGTGAACTGTTTTTACCCCGGTTTCACAACCTAGCTGAAGCTGGTGCATCCTGCTGTTGTGCACCAGAACTTTGCAGATAAACTAGTCACCACTGCGACTCGTGCAACTGCAGATGCAGCCGGGTGCGATGGAGGCGCTACCACCGCCTCAAATTTCTAGGAAATGCCAGGCATCGCTCTGACTGTAGTGTGAATAAAAAGATCAAAGGTTGACAAGTGCGGAGGTGTTAAAACTTAGTTTCATGAGGTGATTCATGTCAGCACAACAGAATTAGTATATGTAGATGTAAGCTCTGTCTTTTGCTTATGAAAAAAAAGTCCCTCAACAGAAAGAAGGTATCAAAAAGGTCAAACCATGTTAATTATATTGCTCTTTTTTTATTGTGCTGATCTATACATGTTAGCTTAGCTTTCTCTATGAACATCCATCTCCCAACTGTCAGCTCTGTTGCAGTCGAACAGCCCAATCTGCATTTTTCTTTCCAACTCACAGTCCTTGTTCATTTCTTCCAAGAGACTCAAACTTTCCAGGCTGCTGTGCAGCAAAAAGTCCTGCATGTGGCTGCTCCTGTGTCTCCGTGCAGATCCAACATTTTCATATGGAAGGGAAATAGAGCTACACTCATGCAAATGCACCCCTCCCCCTATGCACTGTTGAAGTTTCCATACAAACGATCCAGGGGTTATGAATGAGCTCTATGGAAATGGGCTTCACGACTGCATGACATTGGAAAAAATGCAATTTTCCCTTCCTGCTTTGGCCTGGACCGCTCAAACAAACACCTGTGCCAAAAAATTGTTTTATATTTATCAATAGACATAAGAAGCGGAAGAAGAGGAATTGAGAAAATAAAGAAGAAAAAAAATGAAAAGAAAAAAAAAAATCTTTCCATAAAATATATACAATCATTATAAAAATAAATCTGTTAATTAAATACCCTAATTGTTTGAAGCCTGACTGCAAAGTTCAGTTCTTTATCTCAAGAGCACAGTTCTTATTTTGTCAGGTTGGCTGGAAGGGAACCCAGCACATACTGGTGTGATCCAGCTCAACAATAAAGATGATCAGCTTTCACTTCCATCTTCTTTTCGAGAACGTATCTCAAGAGTGTCCAAATTCACCTGATCAACAGGGCCAGTGTTGCGCCGATTCCCGCAAATCCAGCAAAGGCCATGAGTGTGTTCCTCACTTTAGACTCTGGGTCTGCTACTCGAAAGAACGCTACAAAGCCATCCTGAGAACAAGCAAACAAAAACAAATATCAGATGGAGTGTTGGAACAGAGAGAATAGATAATGGCAAAGGTCTATGTTCACTGGACACACAGGCTTTGTTGCACAATGAGAGCAGTTAGGAAACCAGTACATTTTTTTTTTTTTAGCTACACCCTGTCATTCAGCCATTAGTCATAACGTACCCAGGAGTTGTTTTTCACCAGCCAGTCTCGCTGATCAGACAGCAGGTATTTGGAGATCTCCTGCCCCACAGATTCCACACAGTTCTCCCTGCCTGTCTCCTTCATGCGCTGACACACCACCGCCCCGAAGGCCACCAGGCTGGCGATGCGACCCCAGTTTGTGGTGCCATCTGCGAACAGGCTCTTCGCTACTGCACCGACAAACCTCACATCATCCCCTGTGTTGTCCAGTGACAGTTTGTTGATCATACCTGGAAAAAATGAAGGTTTATGTCAGAAATCTATCAAGCCTGAGCATTGAAAAAAAAAAAAAAGGTGACAATTTCACGAATCTACACATCACATCTAACTAAGTTATAAGTAGCAAACTGCTGACTTAAATTTAAACTTTATTTATCTTGTCATAATAAAATATATCCTACAAGCCAATACAGCAGTTCATAAACGCCGAGTCTGTTGTGCGGAATTAGTGGCGTTAAACGGAGCCTTTAGCTTTAGCAGTTCATGGCTACGTGCAGAAGTCTTTGTATGAAATCCACACATGCTGGTGATTACCTACCATTGTATGCGTATCTGTGTTTTTCCAAAACGCCGTCCACAACCCTCTTCATTGTTTGTAGTGCTCTGTGTTCAGTCCACCGCGGTATCGAGCGTCCGGTAAAGCTTTTCATGGACTGGCTAATAAGTTGCCTCGTATCGTCCTCCAACACTTCATCCCCTGCTGGACAACTAGGGACATCGGTTTCTCCGTCCGACTGAATCTCCGGAGTACACGGCAAAGAGCCGTCGTCGACGTCGCTGTCCTCCCGACTCGCTTTTGTTGCATACCCATTTGTTGAGGTGACTTCCAGGCTCTTGGGCCGTTTAGAATTATCATTTGGCACAACATTCCCGTTGTGAGAACATATTGTAGAGCCAATGGCAATCTCCGGCGAGGAGTCTCCGGAGCCGTCGGTCCAAGTTTCCAATCCTCCATTTTGACGACAAATGCAATAGTTCATGGCCGTAAAAGCGGTCGGTTTCGGCGACTGAATAAGATTCATCTCCGATTTGTTTGCTTGAAAATATTGTTAAATTTGTTCCGTAAAAATTAAAGTAGAAGAGATTCAAAGCTAGCCAGTGTAAAACAAAAAGCTAGCCTGTTCTCCAGTGTTCACTCATTCTCCATGACAGGGTTGCAATGAAACGGAAGTGAAGCCTGCAGTCGTTCGTGTTATACCTAATCTCAAGGGGAGGGGGGTTGGGGCATACGTCACTAAGTCCCTTACGTCACAATTTCCTTAAAACAAACGTTTGTTTGTTTGTGTTTGTTTTAGACAGTAAAAGAAAAGGAAAGAGGGAAAAAAAAAGGAAAACAGGAGGAGTGATGTTTCTGAAGCTAAAAATGTTTATGTTTATATATAAAGATTCCTCCAGGATTGTGATTAATTTTCTGGGTTAATGTTTTATTTTTCTATGAATATTATAAAAGATATAAAGGCTTTAATAATAATGGTAATAATGATGATAATTTAGCTGTTCCTGAGGTACTTTAATTTACATTTTTATGTGGTAAGTAAAGTTTAAAGTAAGTCACTTTTACACTATGTAATTTTTTTTTTTAGAAAACAAATGTGCAGTTGTGTTATGGGGCAGTTATAGTGGCACAAGTAAAGTAATTTGATGTTATTACTTTTTAATTTTGATAAATGATTAATAAAATCTTTGATCTCACTGACACTGATCCTATCCCTGACTAATAAAAAAGAAAACCACAGCCACCCTGTCTTACATATTAGCACATAAAACATTATTATGAGGCTATATTGACACACTTCCTCGAGCGTTGCACCTGAGGTTAGTTAAAGTTAAAAATTTCCATTTATTAGAAATGTTGGAAATAGCCGGAACTTTGTAATCACCAGTGGGCCACGTTAGAAATAAAGGATTGTGCTTCCCCCTTGTGGTCAGTAGGAGGTTGTACACCCTGTGAGAACCTACATTAAGATTTAATGTTTCACACTTCAATTTTTATTAGTCCCTGTACACAGGGGGTCTCAGCATGGGTTCACCAACACACACATCAGTGGTAAAAGAAACTACAACAGGGACCTGTCACCAATGAACAACAACAAGGAAATGTTATTAATGTAAAAGTTTATTTCAAATACTGACAAAAATCCTTTCACCTACTCCCACACATCTGAAACATTCTAAGTACTCCTGTACTTTCTGAATTGTTAAAATCATTCCTGTGTTCTCCAGTCATCCTCTTTTTCATGTAAACCCTTTTTTTTTTTTTCTTGGAAGCAAGGGTGCCTCTGATTTCCCTGCAGTTATCATGGGCCAGGATCAAATATACTAATTATGCAATAAGAGAACACAAGAAAAAAAAACAAACATTTACTTGCAAAACAACAAGAAAACAGATTAAGGTAAAAGCAGCACAAAAGTACTTCAGAGCACACAGCCTGTCATTTCATTATACATTCTGGCACGTGTTAAACATAGCTGAACGAGAGACACCCTGTGTGTTGGGTTTGAAACATACCCTGCTATTTTCCTCTCGTTGAACTGCTCCGTGCAAAGCCAAACATCAAGTAGCATTCAAGAACTCCTGTCCACTGTTGTTTTCATAGAACATGTTGTAGCTTATTCACCCATTTCTTTTAACAATCTTGTTAAAACAGGAAACTGTGGGCTTTTAAACATAATAGGATGCTAAATGGTCCGTTCTTATCAATCAGAGTGACATAAAGCGTTGCACACTTTTCTTTTAATGGCCAGACCAAAAGTTGGATCAAATTCAACCATGTACCTTTAATGTTACGGTATAATTTGAATTGAAGTTTACCACAGTCTGAAACTGAATCGACTTTGCCATAGGAGCTGCAGGACTCTGCAACAGAGATGCTCGGGTGGGAAGAAGAGAGTCGGACTGGTAGAATCAAGAGGACAGGTGTTCTTTACAGGGTTATCATCTCTTAGATTTGTCTTTGACTGAATCAGCAGCATTTACACATATTTTCATATGATACAGATTCACATAGCCTCTGCAATACACTAAGATAGAGCAGAAGTAGTGTTAAACTGAAAGGAGAGGAACCATTGAATCAGAAATAGCTCAGGCTATGAAAGAGTGAAAAGCAGGTGGGAAAAACGCAAAAAATCCCTTCCTGTTGAAGTCTATTTACAATGGCTGGAACAGAGAAAAGCAGTGCATTCATACAACGCCAGAACAAGCACATACGTACAGGTCAGTTCTCTTTCACCCACTGCAAATTTGACACATTTTAAAGTCTCAATGAAAAACAAATGAGGTTGAGAATGAGATGGTGCATGCACCCTAAATCGCCTAGCCTACATGGTGGAGTGTGCATTTGTGAAGGTTCCCTGAAGCAGTATTATACAAGGAGGCTAATTCTCAGTGAGCGTTGGCATCCAGTTTAGATTCTTAAATAATGTGGACGGCAGGCAGTCCAAGTCTGCAGATTTGGTGATCGCTCCGTTGACCTGTTTCAGAGGCTGAACCACATTAACAGGTGGGACTTGAGCGCAGAGCACTCACTCACACTTTGCCCCCCTCACCATGTGTTATAAAATCTCTCTGCTTTGCCAAGTGTTAAGAGTGAGCACATCCTGCAGGCATGCAGTGTCCCACTTTAAGCCCGCAATGACGATGTTGGGAGCTGGGCTGACACCTGTGGTTAACAGGTTGCCTGCTGCTTACCACCTCTGACACAGATCGGTCTGTGTAGTGTGTCAGTTTGGGAAGAAAGAATACTGTTCTAAGGGGTGCTGGGAGCAGAAGTAGGTCTATAGGGAAGTAAAGTAGTTAGTGTTTCACATGGTGAATTACCAAAGAGGGCAAGATGTCTAGGGAACCACTACTTCTGACTGTGATATTTAATCTGAAAGTGTTAAAACATGGAGAAAACAATCTCTCACAGAAAATGAGAATTCTATTTTCCATTTTTAGTTTGAACAAGCAGCAAGAATAAGTCATTCCCAAATGTCTGAAAACTATCTTTATACTGCACGTGTGACACTGCTGGACACAACTGTGAAGGCTATGATTGTGGTTAGTTTTGTCTTTTTAATGTGGCTTCTGTATGTCAAATACACGTGTTCACATGTGACACTGAAAAGCTAACTTCTAGCGGTGTTTGGATCTGTGTTTTAAAGACCACAGCAAAGTAAGATGTGTCTTTCATATCTTCATGAGATGCAAACACAGTGTGAAGCCAGACCGGCGTGGTCTGCAGTCTGCCTCGTCACAGCACAATGCGAGCCAGATGATTAGATGGTAACAGACACATCGGAAAGACATGTGTATCCACAGTCTCTGAGCCGGATAGCTGTAGTGTGAAATTTGGCTCGGTTGGTAAAGCATAGAATTTCCGAGCCAGAAATCCGAGGTTGTAATCCCAAGTGAGTTGATTTAGCACTACCATTTCTGTCAGGCATGCTAGCTGGTCTGCTCCTTAAAGCGCTGCGCTTATCACAAATTACGTGCTTTTGATGGGAGTATTATTTACAGAAGAATAAACTCTATGCAGGGTGCTTCAATCCCCCCACAAATCTTTTAGGCTCATAGTAAACACACATCTTGATGCAACTCAAAAGCAACCAAACTAAGAATGAACTCAGAGATTGGCAGGGTTCCCAGCCTTTAAAATCATACGAGGATATACTCAGCTGGCTCTTGCCCTGGGCCGCAAACAAGAGTGTGTGTACATGGATTGTCAGGACAGCAAAAAGGAAAAGGAAGGAAGGAAGTGTGACTATGGACATTTCAGGGCTTTATGTGTTTGTTTTGATACGTCCTATCATTAAGCAGATGCCTCACTCCCGTTAAAAAACATGTTAAATTTCTTTTTTGTTACATGTTACAATCATGCAGCATATTTAGAGAGAACAGGAGCAAAGGGAGTCAAGAATTAAAGCAACATGAGCAGAGAGAGGGAAAAACGTGGCGTTTCAACTCCCTGTTTGGCTGAGCTGTAGCAGATGACCTCTGGTTTTATTCGACGAAAGGTGACCAAAGGATGAGATGAAAGGACGCCTCCGTTCATTTCCCCCCTCCCATTTCCCAATATGGTGTGGGTGAATGCTAAACAACTCTTAATCTGGGCAGCTGTCCCTCACAGATTTGGTATGCAAGCAATTATTGACATACATCTTCCATCCCCTCCCGCCAAAGCCAGCCACCAGCATAGGGAGGGGAACATAAAGACCAAAGAACACGCTGCGATCATGGTTCCTAACTCCCTTACACACATTATTTTGGTGTCATTCAGGATGCAAAAAAAAAAGGAAAAAAAAAAAAAAAGAACAAAACATACTATACAGAATACAAAGTGCATTAACTCACCCCATCCAACCCCTGCCTGATGACACACACCTACTTTGATGCATCTTGGAACACCGAAAACCAAGACATAAGGGAGGCGGTAGAGCAGAGTGCGCAGAGGGGGCAGAGCTGTGCGTGGCGGGAAGGCAGAGAAGGCTGCGACCTCGTGGGCCGCCTAAACCTCCATCCCTCCCACCCCGCCCCACCCACATACAAGCAAATGGAGTTTTAACTTATACAACTCTGCCCGATATGTTAAAGCCAGTGGTGCCTGGGGATGTAGAGGGAAGAGAGGGGAGTGGGAGGGGTTGACATATCGGGGACACAGGTGAGGAGGAGGAGGAAGGGGGACCTTTGCCCTGAGCCCCGGGGAGAAGGAGGGGTGGGTGAGGGTGCTTCTGGGATGATGAAGGCTAGCCGGCTAGCTTGCTGGTCACCAAGGAGGACTTCCTCTGGGGCAGGTCCTGCGGCGTGGGAATGTGGTCGCCGGTTACCAGGTTCTTGTCGGGCCCCGCCACAGGAAGCTGCTTGTTCTTCATCTTGGCCTTGGCCATGTTGTAGTCGCCCGAGTCGAAGTACTTTTGCTGTGTGAAAAGAGAGACGAGAGGTGCTCACAGCTTTAGAGGCATGCTGCTTGGTGATTTCACTTAAGCCTACAATGCAAACTGTTTTTTATCAAAAACAACATTCACAACCAGATTTGCGTATACTGAAATGTAATTGTTCCTCTTGTCCATACTCTCCCCGTGGAGGACCCTTCCTAATGCAATCCAAGTGCAAGAGATGGAGGACGAAATCCAGAGTGCTTATTGTGCTAAAGCTTATATGAGGCTTCAACGCTATGAATTAGGCCCTTTGCATTATTCTCCTGGTGGGCACCACATACACCTGCAAAGGCCAAAATCTGTAATTTAGTATGAAATTTTCTGGAATGCATGAATTTTGCATAGAACTAGGACTGTGGATTTCAGAATCCACCTCTTCAACTGGAATTACATTTGAAAGATCTTTTCACAGCCAGTATGGACAGGAAGAATTATTATAGTGAGAGTATTGTATTAAGATAAAACAGGAAAAAAAAAAAACACCATAAGATGAATTTGGGTTTGGTTACTTTTTTTTTTTACCTTTTGCATTGTGCTGATTCAATCAACAAAAAGGGGAAGTCCACTCTCAGATTCTCTAACTGTGCTCGATATCATCATTCTCTGGGATTTATCTTATGATGAAGTACTGCAATTTACTTTTTGGCTTTCCCAGCAGCCTCTCATCGGCTACTCCTAGTCAGTGATTTCCCAGAAGGACTTTCAACAGTCTCCAGAGGTGGAAGTTCTCAGTAGCATATACAGTGCATGTAGCTGGAGAGAGCAACAGTTTTTCCAGTTGAGGAAAAGTGAGAGAGGAGAGTGAGTGATTCTTTCGTGTGCTCTGCCCTGCGGTTCACATTATAAATAAAAAACAGTCGGTCACACAAGCTGTTGTATTTCACATGCATGAATGTGGCTGCACTAGCATTGGGTCGTAGATAAATTATTTTTCTCTCTGCTTCAATGGATTTAGCCCTATAGGATTGTTGAATGGACAACAAAATGGCAGCTCAAAGTAGAAACCCATGGTTGTGAGGGACACAATATGCATCAGACATGTTTTAGATGACTGAAACATCTTCTACAAGCCAAAAACATCAGAATATGACGTATACATGATGTTAGTTAACTGCAGGATTAAGAAAATACTAAAAAATTCACAGGAAATGGGAAAGGAAATGCAAGGTATGTAGCATGCAGCTGTGTTTAAAGTTTTTCAAGTGGATTTTTCAGTGACATTAATGCTTTGGAGCTTGACTGATCACAGTGCAAACATCACCTGGAGCAGACAGCTGAAACACTTTAAAATCTTTGTTTAGTATGAGCAGGGAGGAATTCAGTGGTTTGCTGATGAGGGGATCAAATCTAAGACCGGTTTTTAATGAAACCCCATCCTTGAACTGCTCTCGTCTCCGACCATGTGGTGAACAAACCATGGTTACCTACCCCTTTCTGTAGTCTCTTCATGAGGAAGTCTGAACCGCCGGGCTTCTGGCCCAGGCCAGGGTACTTGGCCTTCAGCTTGGCCTCCTCCGCCTTCACTGGGTTTGCATTCTTCTCCTGGGAGTCCTGTGGAGACAAGAACAAACTGACATAAACAGGGACCTTTCAAAGTGTCCTGACACATCTTAAGAAAGGTTCATTTTGTGGAACAGCTGGTTATCTGACAGACACTCAATTACAGTCACCCTACAATTCCAAAAATGCTGCTGGCTCTACAAAAACACCTGTAAAGTCAACTGTGGAGCCCAGGGCCGCTTCACTCTACAAATACACTAAAACTGCTCTTGAAAAACTCTGTGCTGTAAAATGGGCTAAGAATTATGACAATGACTAGTGGGAACTGAAGCTACTTCATGATAGTATGAGTCACAGCATAAATGTTCTTCTATTACAGTCTCTCATATTGCCATCGAGGGTTAGGGTTAGAGGAAATAACTCGAGAAGAGGACAGAGCTCGGTACAAATAGAGATCTAAAAAAGAGTTTAGAGGCTTAAATTGATAACTAACATCTAAATCTTGTCAATGAACTACTAATGTTAAATTATTATTGTAAAGTAATAAAGTATTCCACATTTAAGAACTACCCTTTGAGCATGTCAAGCAATCAGAGTTGTTGTTAATTGCTAAATTACAAGTTCTTACATGCTGTTATTTTCAGTTCATGTGGACATAACAACGCTTGTTTCCTGTGGGACTCATGGTTTGTCTTCCATACATAATATTTACAGTAAATCCCATAATCCCTGTTAATGTGAATTCATTGTTTATGTTTGTAACGTGCTTTTTTAGAAACATTCGTGGGAATCGAGGTCAAGAAACAATAATTTCACAACACTATATCGTTGTTATGACAGCGGGAGGAGAGATACAGAAGCCTGAGGTGGCATTTCAGGTAGACAATACAAGTGTTTGTACGGTTGCCACTGACGATCACTGGCCAAACTAGTCAGATACCTGTAATTCAAGTCCATGTCAGGTGTATACAGTATATTCAGGCCAGTAATTTGGGCCATCGAGGCACACCTTCTGTGTACACAGTGTGAATCAAGCTTTTTGAATGCATGTTGAAACTATCTCAGGGTATAGTAGGTGTAAAGTACATGTAAGACTATTATGCACAAACCAAAGGCCATTTATACACTCCCTGCATGTATACCTGGAGCAAGCAGCGCACAGCACAGACCTACTTCCAGTATGCAGACAAGATATAGCACTCAGCCTGCAAAGCTTGCTGGGGCAGGGATAAAATGTGACTCAGGACACAGAAGCCGATGAACAGATTCCCTAAAGAGGAGGGGGTGGGGGGAACGTGTGGCACCGAGTGTGCTGATTCACTTGGGTCCATGACGAGAAATTTATGAGCTACTATATTCAGCCCCAATGCAGGGAAACTGCAAATCCAACAACACGTTCTTTGTGCAACCTCTACAGCGGTTTTAAACTGTTATGCAGAACTGTAAAAATCCCCTTAGGGAGGTTCAAAGTTTGACTTCACGTTTCTTCCACACAATATAGATATATTGTACCTGCTTGTTCCAGTGCCTCATTCAAGCTACACTTACAGCGGGTGAAAGACTATTCAGTATGCTAAATCAATTGAAAATGTTTTATATCTAAAGCATCGTTTTAAACAGAAATCTTCATGACACATTTGGTGTCTTTACAAAGTTTATCAAAATAAAAGTTTTGCAGTTTTAAACAGTGCCATGCTGTTGAGTCACTATGTTTGAAGTGGCTCTTATTTTACACAAAAAAATGTTCTTGAGTGATTTAAGGTAGGCAGTGACTATGTAAAAGATGCAGTCTGTCAAAGCACTCCACATAATTACCATTCACTGCAAATGACCTCAGGTATGTGCACACATCCAAGATTATGCATAGAAGCCATCAGGTTTGTTAACAGACCTGGTCTGAAATTTGTAAAAGCCAACCTGCTGTGCAGCCAATCAGCTATTATATCAATTTTGATCATTTATTACTGTACTTCAAATATCTGGATTAACAAAACAAACCAACTACTAACACACTGTCTCCCTAAATCCATTATACCATAGATAGTGTGATTTATTTTATCATCGCCATAAAGGTTTTGTGCTTATTTTGATGTAGTCACTCTCCTTTTCAGTTGACTGAAAACAGCTGACAGTTAACTGCTGGTAAAGTATACACAAATGTGCACACGTGTAAAGTTGACCAAAACAAACCAGGCCCATACTGACGTCAGCAGATAATACAATATGATAAAGCCTTGATCCAGGTGTTAAATTATGTGCATGTCGCTGTGTTCGGGTAGGCTATACAAATACTGAAGCACTGGCACACTGCAGTTGTTGTCACTATCAGGAAGAGACCGTCAGGAATCTCAACACGTGTGTTACTCAGGGGGGGGGCTGTTCAGTTTGTTTTTCCAGTGCAGGTGTTTTCACCAGATCAAACTGCACCGAGTGAAACCACCACGTTATGTCTTTATTTGGAGACTATCGGCACTCCATGACACGTTTTGAGACCCCCCCCTCCAGGACAGACCAATGAGGCCCGAGCTGCTGTGGACTCGCCAGCCAATGACACAAGGTAAGAGACAAAACAAAGTGACACACTGGCAAGGTGCTCTGAATGTTGTGACAGTGCCGATAAAAGCCATTTCCAGCACACTGCACTGCTTATCGTTGCTCTACGTGTCTTCCACGAGCCCTCCCCTGCCTTGGTGCAGCGCTGAGCATGTTGCAAACACTTCACTTGTGCTAGCTGGTGTTAGCCACTTCTTGCTAGCATGCTCGGTGGTTAGCCAACAACATCCAAGACAGCAGTCAGAAACCCACCTGTTTTTCGTCCTCGTAGTCCACCTGAGTGTCCGAGTCCAGGTTTTCTGACGACATTGTGTGAGTGTGGTGGACAAGCAAGTGTCCCGTTTGCCAGACGCCTCAAAGAGGTGAATGTACGAGGTGCCGTTTTATGTACCTGTGCTGAATCTAATCCTCCTTTTCTGAACACGACTGCTCCCCAACAAAAATGGCGTAACGAGATGTGACATCATCACCGGAGGGAGGGATTGAGGGGGCGGGCGTACGTACTTGTGATCGACATATACAGTAACCAATAGAAGAGCAGTATCTCTCCACTAAGAGCCAATGAGATCCCGTAACGTCACTCTCTTTGATTGACACCCCGTCGTCCAATGGTTTTACAAAATGGAGAGTGGGGGCGATGCGGGGCCGCACTGCATCAACACAAATCACCTGAACAACACAGAAGATGTATAATCAGCACAACATTTTTATGAACACTGTGTTATATTAATTAGTGAACGGACTAAAACTGCTGTAACGGGAGGATTGGCAGTCATCATTGTCCTTAATTTTTGTTTTTGCAGTGCACTTAAGAGAAGCTAACTGCTCTGTGATTGGCTACTTGTTGGGGACCCCTGTTGCTGCCCCCGTCAATCAAAAAATTAGCGGGAACGGTTGGTTTACGCGAACACCTAGCTTACCTCCATATCTTTTTAAAAACCAATCTGCTGTATTGTTGTTTTCGGTAAAACATACTTTTGATGTAAGTACAAGCTCATAGAAAACAGAGACTAGGTTAGAAACAGCTTAATCATATTGTGGTAGGTGGCTGTCTAAATGTAAACTCACAGGATAATTAGCTAGTGGTAGTTTACAGTAGTGCAGTCATGTAAATGTGCTTAACTAGCTAAAGCAATGTTGTTAGCCACTTCACAACATTTATCTTGTGTTCTTTGCAGCTCCTTATTTGTGGTTTTTCACCAAAACTATGGCATGTGTACAACGAGTGAGAACTTCACAGGTAAAAAGACAAGTTTTCTCCTTATTTATAGCAGTGATTGTAACTAGATCTAGTACCTTTTCCTATGTGCTACAATTTCAATTTTATTGTATTTTATGCCTCTATACTAATTTGAGGGCTTTAATTAGTTCCTCACAAAATTATTTGACCCTCATATATTCATCATAAGTTACAGTTGAGACCACTTGGTTTGTGTCTAGCATTTATTTGTCACTTTCAGGTTGCATCTTGGGGTAAAATTGGATATTTAACACCAGAACTGACTTATTTATTATTTTTGGAAAATACAAATTTTAGATAGCTATTTAAATCTACCACAACTTAATTTTGTAAAAGGATGATCCACACCAATATTTAGGTCCATAAAGATCAGAAGAGTCACATAATGAGAAATTACTGGTATTAATATTGTGCTTAAATGTTTTATTTATCCTAGACTTCAGAGAGACAGTATTACATCATATGTAATACTTTGTTTGAGTTTGAATGATAGTTTTATATGTTATTTAATATGTCGTAGCATTGCTCATTTGAATGCAGCTTTTGGCTGTCTAGGTTTCTAGTGTTTCTGTTAACTGTCATGAATAAGCTGCAATAAATTGTGATTTAATTTGTCCCACCTGTGCAGGACACTCAGCTGTTGCCTAATCAGGTTCTCTCAGAGCAGCAGTCCTTGGTTGTTATGAAAAAACTTCTGGCCATCGCAGTGTCTGGCATCACATACCTTCGGGGCCTTTTCCCAGAGAAAGCCTACGGGAGCAAATATGTTGAAGGTTACCTTATCCACTGAAAGTTATTTGTCTGCAAATCATTTAATATTTGGAAATATTTACAAAGAGGATCCTTTCCTTTTTTTTTTTTTTTCCTCCCACAGAGCAGAAAGTGATGATCCTTAGAGAGGAGCGCAGCTGTCCTGGTGCCAGTCAGATTGTTCAGTGGTAAATAACAACAACTTGACACTTGCTGCCCAAAGATGTTGATCAGGCTCACTAAAGAAATCATTTGAATGTCCTCTATCTTTTTGGACATAATTCCTGTTGAAACTGAAAATCCTAGTGAGTCTTGTTAAGAAATCTCAAAATTCCAAAATCCAAGGAAAAGCTAATGCTATAGTTAAATTAGTATAAATTATCATCTTAATAATTTTCCAAAAACTCTCTTAGTCTACCGTGTCATATTACACATTAACTAAAACGCCAGGAGACTTAGTTTTATAAGTGATGATGAGTCAGAGTTCACTGACCTGAGTAATCGTTGTATGTGGAGGAATACTGGGGGATAAAGTTACTATTAATTGTCTGTGTGTTGTTTTTTTTATTCTTCCAGGATGCAGGGGTGCTTTGAGGCCATCCAGAGGAAATATGTAAGTCATATTTAACCTTTTCCAGCAGTCAGAAGATTTGTAATGTACACCTGGTTGATTTACTTTTTTTTTATTGTTTCTCACAGTAACTAATGTGGTCAAAATTATTGTTATTTTTTTCCCCACCAGCTCCGGACAGTCATCATGTCTGTGAGTATTTTGCTTATCTTTGATTTCCTATGTTTTTTTTGAATGTTTAACTGAGATGAACACATGTGAGGAGTATGCTTGTAACTGTAACTCAGTTTTTGAGAGTACTTACAGCATTTAGTCTTTCCATTAAGGCCTAAAAGAGATCCAGGAATATTCATGGTGCTGATGTTTTTTCCTTCTGACCCTTTTTTCAGATCTACACTGATCCAGAGAACCCCCAGGTAACGTGCAGGTTTCCTTCCTCTTTGTTGATGTTCAATACCGTTAATATATTGTAGAGATAATTAGCTGTTTATATGATTGTTGTGTATTTCATGTACAGCACGTGTGTTGTCATGTCTTTCAGAAAGTGACTGAGTTTTACCAGTTTAGGATCCAGTACACTGCAAAAGGAGCGCAGATGGACTTTGAGAGGTGGGATTTTTTTCATGCCTGACAGTTAAGATAACACATATGAATCATCTTGAAGTTGGCTTTACACTCATACCAGGAGGTAACTTTTTTTTTTTCTTTCTTAACTTTTTTCTGTCTAGATATGACTCAGTGAATGCATGAATTAACCCTTTGACTACCTTCAGTTCCATAAATTCATAAACACATCCACGTGTTCCATAATATGGAACAGTTTTATGCATTCAGTGTCTTCTGGGACTAAAACTTTAACTGGAGCTACATCAGACTTAGACAGGAGTGAAACAGTTAAATCCAATATGCTATTATCAATACATTATTGCATGAGTATGGAAAAAATTAATGTGCATCAGTTAATACAGATTCACACAGATGTTAACATGGCATGATGTTGTATGATGTTGTTTGTTTGGAAACGTAAACATAAGCCGGGAGTGGAGGTATTCACAGAGCTGGATAGACGTCTGTGTAAAAAGTAGGACAGACGCTGTTATGTTAGACATCACGCCTCTGATTCCAGAACGCTGGCATGCAATCTAAAATCACACACTGGGCAGGGTAAAACCGGCTTTGTTTGGTTTAGTGTAAACAAGCGAAGGTGGCACAATCAGGGGTCTTCTTAACGGCAAAATAGCGGTAACTCTGGCGCTAGTCTCTTCAATAAACAAGCCTCTAACACCTGTAGAGTTGTTTTTTTTTGTTTTTTGCCTAGCAAAGCAACTTTTGTTTTTCACCCTGCCTCCTTTCTCTAGCAGTAACAACAACAAGGTGTCAGCGATGTCGTGCGGTAACACGAAGAAGGCGAGCATCCTGCTGGTGAGGAAGCTCTACACTCTGATGCAGAACCTGGGTCCTCTGCCAGACAACGTCTGCCTCAACATGAAGCTGGCCTACTACGACGATGGTAGCACACAAACACAAACAAACTCACCATGATTATATTATTTACACCACTTGAGGATGGATTAGATAGATTAAAGCTTTGCACATTTAATATTTCAATGATTAGATTTGTTAAACCTAATGTCATGAGCTGTACGACTTGAACTCTCTCATATGTGCTGCAGCTTTGATCGAAACTTTTAAGCATTTGCGTCACATGTTAGACATTTAGCTGTATCTAAAAATTCGGTGTCTTCTGTAAGGGCAGTTTTGTGAGGACAGGTGGTGAGACCAGTTTCAGAAATGGATGAGAAATTGCACAATACAGAAATGCACAATATTTAAAGACATTTATATTTGCACAATATCCAAATCAATAGTGATTTGCAACCATAGCCAATTTTAAAAATGTAAGAAAAGGACATTTATAGGTTAAGTTTTTGATTTTCTTTTATATCTCAGTGTGGTGCTACATTTAGGTGTAGATTTTCCCAAAACATGTCCAGATACCTTAGTCAAAAATGTATTTATAATAGTTAATAATTTTGGGACTGTTCTTGTTGCCTGTTTATCAAAAAGATGAATAAATGCTTCTGCTGAGATGATTCACATGGCTCATTTCCAAATAGCTGCATAGTTATCTGCCTGTGTTCACTGGATGTGAAATATCTGCATGCACCATGTGTTTTTAACGTGTTTCTGAGTCGTGACATTTGTTTTTGACACTTGATGTAAAACCTGTCTCACAGTTTGTCCGTCTGTCTGTTTGATTGTTTTATAGTCACCCCTCAGGACTACCAGCCGCCAGGCTTCAAGGAGGCTGACGGCGACACCATGGAGTTTGAGAGGGAGCCAGTGAAATTGACCATGGGCGAGGTGGCCACTCCCTTCCACACTCTGAAGTTGGACATGGCTACAGAGAGACGGAGACTGGAGCAGGTGACAGAAAAAGGCATCATGAAAGTCTTTATATGTGCTATAATAACCATGTCAGAGCTTTTGAACTCCCTCTTATTCTGCATATTTGTCTCCTTTAAGTTGTCATAATAATACTCACTGTCTTTAATGGACTTTTGTCTCCTAATCAACAAGTCAGCAGTACTGGGAGCTGATTTTTTTTAAAAGGACAGCATTTTGTTAAATGTCTGCAGGTGGAAGAGAGTGTGATGGAGAAGTGGGTTCTGAAGATGGAGGAGGACGGCGTCCTTTCACAGGTCAGCACACAAACAGCTGAGACATGAAGCTTGTTGACTCTAAGCAGGGCAACAAGTAACAGTCATGGTATAGACTTAAGCTATAGTATATTACTATATATCGATTAGATTAGATGTCTCACAAGTATGAATGTGTGCAGTTTCGCAATCAACACATGAATTTTGAAATGGTCAAATATTGAACATGCAAGCGAGGCCACAGGTCAGACGTGGGAGTCAGTCTGTTTTATCAAAAAGCGGCGTGTTGTTGTGGTCAGTGTGTTGACATTGTTCGATCCCGGTGTTCAGATAACATGTTTTCATCTTTAGAGCCATGTGATTGAAGACGTGGAGAAGCCTGACACTGAGAACACAGACTTGGATAACACCGGTAAATACTCCCCACCAACACCCAGCAGCCCGTTTCACTTCACCTGAGCACAGTAGAACTTTTCCACAGTTCAGTTTGTCCTTGTTTGTGACTGAAATGTCTCCATATTGTAAGAAATAACTGCAGATTTTTGGGAGATGGAAACGATTTAATGTTTTTCATTCTTAAACATGTTAAATGTCACTGCAAGCTTGAATTACTAGAAGCATTAGGAAGTAATAAGAGTGAACTGTATAAATGGACATCATCAGGTGAAGGTCTCACTTGGAGATGCATAGTCCTTAAAATGAAATTCAGTTGTAGAGGTCTCTGATTTTACAGTCCTTTACTTTAAGTTGTGATTTTTTTATGATGTTTCATTTATTATTATTTATTATTATTTTATTTATTGAGAAATTCTCCAAGTGTTATTTCTCTAAAATAGCCTCCAAATTTACTGTTACACTTACAGATCTGCTCATGATCCAGAGAGAATAATGATTAACATGCATGTGATTTGTTTTTGTTGTTTTTTGTTTTTTTAGATGTCCAAATGACCTGTCATGAGAAGATGGAGAGTTGTGAGGAAGTTACAGAGGTAGGTGTGACATTAACTACACCAGCCTCAGCGCACTGCGAGCACGTGGTACGTGTTTCAAGCTGCAGAGGGCTAACACATTAAAATTCACTAATTCCATTCTTCAAGTGGAAATTGGTGGTGAGGAATCAAAACAAGAGCAAAGGAAAAGCTTTTCCTAGTCATCATAAAATAAATATAAATGCGTCATGTGGTATTTAAAAAAAAAAAGAATAATGCTTTGCTTAAGAAGTGGAAGACTTTTCCTACTATTTTACATCAGGCCAAACTGGATTAATTCATTCTTTTCAAGAGCAGAAAATGTTTTGAAGAGTGTGTTCAACTCAGAATTGACTGCATTCATTTGTAACGTGTGGTGGAAACAGGAAACATGGTTGAAATATAAAGAAAATCTTTTAATAGCTGCTTTAGCTATTGATGTAAAGACAAATGCCTTTCAGCGCAAGGTGTCACGGTTATTTTAACTGAGAACTCATAAAAAACTGAAGGGTTTATCAGCAGTGAGAATCTGCAGAATGATTATAGGCTCTGTGCAAACATAAAACGAAGGGCCACTTCGAGTGTGCGTAGGGCCGGTGGCATTACGGACCATCTGTCCCCTCTCAGATCAACACTCTGGTGAAGAGGACCTCTGACATGGAGGTGGGCCTGAAGAGGACCAGGAGTGGACGGATCATCAAGTCCACCACGGTCAGTCATCCACTTAAAGCTTAACAGCCACCTCTCCCCTCGTACACTGTCACAGCTAGGCGTACACTGTTACGGTTACAGCTAGACGACCTGAAACCCCTTTATGATGCCATAGTCAGTTTAATGTTTTTATGAAAGTTTGCTATTCAGTCTGTTTGCTTTGTTAGATAATTAACCAGTCAACAGAACATAATCTATCTATGAATGTTAACACTGTAAAAGTAACAAGAGTGACATGTTTTGATGTAATTATTTTATTAATAAGACATCGTGTGTGTGTGTGTGTGTGTGTGTGTGTGTGTGTGTGTGTGTGTGTGTGTGTGTGTGTGTGTGTGTGCGCGGGCAGGAGACAAACTTGACTGTGGACAATAAGCTGACACCTAGGAAGGACAAAATGGTTTGAAACTTTTATAAATTCTAATCTGATCTTAATTTGGTATCAATATATTGTAAGTGAAGCTAGTAAATGATTAAGTGTTTGTAACTCAACATATTATTTAAGAAGAGAACAGTATGTGCTTGCAAACCCTGGATCCCGTCATTAAATATACAGCATTTGTATGTGTGTCGAAAAAGTCTTGAAAATGTATTAATAAGTTTAAGGCCCAAAATAATGTCAACAGTCTAACTTAACTGTGGGTGGAAAAATGTCCACACATTACTCATAACTCGATCTGGAAACAAAGAGTTCATCATTTTTGATTGAGGCTGATGAATCAGCTGAACAGGAAAACGTGTAGGAACCCTGTTTGTTTCACAGATGAGTCAGCGCTCGCCGCTTTGGTTTCACAGAATCAGAAGATTCATATAAAACACTGTGTTTTCAGGTTTCTCAGTATGACATCCCCAGCAGCCAGGAAACACCATCCACCACTGCGCCTAAGAAGAGACGCAAATTCAGCGAACCCAAAGAGCGCTATTGACCTCACACCCCACTGCTCACACAGCAGCACAGCTGTATTGATTTACACTGATGTTTTTTTAAATTCACAAGTTATGTAGTTGTGGGTTTTTTTTTTTTTTTTTTTTAAAAAGGAGTTCCACTTGTTTTTGAAAACATTTTAGCAGTATTTTGAGGTTGTTACATAACTGTCAGTGTATTGTTTATTTGAATGAAATACAGATACAAAATATGTTGCTGCAAAAGTGTTTATTTTGCCTTTGAATGGTTATATTTGTTTGACTGGCACCACTCTGTTCATGTGTACAAAGCAGGACTGCAAAACCTCAATAAAATATAAAACTGCAGTATAAAGTGTCATTTGTAGCAGGGTTACAATTGCAGTTTTTTTTTTTTTTTTGAAAAGTCAACAATGCACGATTGCAAAACTGTCTGTGGTTTCCATTGAGTGATGTTATGCGATATTATTCCGATTTAAAGGTGACATCTGCCTCGGTTGGAACAGGCTCCCTGGGGTCTTATACGTCAGGCGCCACCACTGATATGCAAAAGAAGTGTTTCCATTTCATTCTGAAAAACCACCTCATGTGTCAAGTGTATACATTTTTTTCCGACATTTGAGTCTTTTCAAAATCAACACGTTTCCATTACTCGTTTTTAAGTTTGCATTTTCAAATTGTGCATTAAGCAGGTTAATGGAAACGTGAGGCGTTAGTTTGTGTGGCACTTGATTATAAAGTCAGATTGAATGGGATTTATAAGGAGCAACAACAGGCAGGTTATGTTGAGGCAGAGTTGGAAGGAAAGGATTATCTCCTTTTCGTTTAAAACTTCTGTTTGAATGATTTATTTGCGCAGATAAATGCTTGGAAAACTATGGTTTTATTTGATCATTTTAATAAGAAATATATGCAGATGATTTTCTGAAAAAAAGTGAGTAATTGGCTGGTGAGCTGTGTTAGTGTGCAGTGAGGTCAAATGTCCTGCATATATTATGCTGACAGGAATATATTTTAAAATTAAATTCATGTGAACATTTGTTCAGATCTTGTTGTATTTTCCTGTCAACATTGACACAGATGGTGAGGGTGTAAAAAGAGCGGTTTGCAGAGGCTACAGTCATACACTGAGAATGCTGTGGTGCGTGCCAGGACTTTATGAGTCATATTTTTATTAGATGTAAGCAGGCAGTGATAAGGAGCCCTGCACATGTTGTATAAGTACTGTGCACATAGTTGAAGCTTTTGCTTACTTCTAACAACAACTGCATACATTCAGTATCAACTCTGATACAGGAGTTTATGTCTGTATTTTGAGATGATGAGTTTTCACGTGTAGTAATTTTATAGTGGTGTGTATGTGTTTATACAGTTGTGTTGCAGCTCTGGAGGCTGTACAGCCGCAACACTCAGCAGCTGCCTCCATCAGCATTAAGACGCTGTCAGACACCTGTGCTTGTTTCTTGGTTTAGAAAAGGCAATAAGCTACCGTCTGTTACAGTTTAAAGATTTAACAGTTTGAGCTTCCTGCTCTTCCTATCCCATAGGCCAAAAAAAAAAAAAAAAAACTCAATTTCTCCTGCCTCTGGAAAAACAAACCTGCATGTTTGAATAGACCTCGAAATGCCACCATTTGCATGTGAGGTGCCTTAAATGAAGCTGTTAAGTGAAAGTGGATTATATCTGTACACAGTGACCTTTGGGCCCAGATAAGGGCCCATCAGCAGCCTCCCGCCCGGCAAGCTGTGTGTTTTTAATCTCCTATTGTTTTTCCCAGAGAGAGGGACATTTGCTGATAGACTGCCTTAACCCACTGCAAATCAATACTGCAGGAAGCCTTTGTGATGCATATCCAAGCAGCCCCCCGCCCCACATCTCTCTCTCTCTCTCTCTGTGTCTGCGGCAGGCCGGGGGGGGGGGGGCAAAGAGAGACTCCATCAAATCAGCCCTCACTTCCTAACGCTGGCATTGTCTTGACCACCACTTTTATTTCATTGTCTCTGTGTTTTTATGGGTATTTCTGATAACAGGCATAAAGCAGAATGGACTGGGAAATCCACAGTGGACAATATCCACACATTGGCGCATTGACGCTATTTATGAGCTGTGAAATTAATCAGGGTTTCCTAACCTCACAGCCCGACTCTGGTGGCATTTTTCAACACTTTTTTATTATTTTGACGGGGGGGGGGGGGTTCTCTGGGTATTGATAAGTGATGAAGTGCAATGACAGTAAATGACACCTTCACAGGTCTAGTCATGTAATGTAGATAACCAATATCTCTGCTATAGACATTACAACAACACTATATCACAGAAATGAACCGATTCATAGCGCCCAAAAGGCAAAATGTGTCCAATGACATGGAAAATAAAAAGAAACGTTGGAAAATGCACATATTGAGGGATTGTCACGTCTGGCACCCAAAGGAGTCTGACACTTGGAGCTCAGACACCTGAATGCACAAAGACTTGAATATGGACTTCTTTCAATCACATCTTAGTTGAACATGAACAAACAACATAAGAACAGGTTTTCAGGGTATAGAGCGGTGTTCCTGTCAAGCGCGTTCCAAATACCTATAGAGGGGGAAAAGGAATCTAAATTGCGATTTTATTTCGCCTCCACCCTTGATCCTTCACTTGGATCCTGGGACTCTACATCATTTCTGTACACACACGTCTCCCAGAAATGAATTCTGAAATTAAATTCAGGGACACACGTCCAGCGGCTAGTGTTAACAGATCAATCAGCTGGTCAAACAGCAGGAGGGGCCCGCTGGACGCCTCTGCAGACCAATCAGAAATCTGGGTCCGTTCTGTCTGAGTCGATAGCGTAGGTCCATGGCCGCCTGTGTACGGTCAAGGCAAGACCCACTGACAGTCTGATGGACAGACAGCCGCAGTCCATCCCAGGGCTCCATATAGATTAAAGCCAGCTTCTGTGAGCCTATAGTCGCGGTGCGGTGATTGTGCCTGCAGGGCCTATAGGCCCCAAGGGGGGGCTGGGCTTTACAGCAGGAGGGGGAGGAGCGAGGGATGGAGTGGACATCCAGCCCAGGGACCGTGACCCCTTTGACCTTGCCAGAAGGGCAGCAAATGTTTCCGAGCTGATTAGCGCTTCCCCAGCAGAGTACCCCGCTCACTGCAGAGGCGTTGGAGGAAAATGTGTCATTCACTTATTTCTGAAAAAAAAAAAAACTGTTAAGCGAGAACAAGAATGAAATAAATAAATTTTTTTGATAAGTGCCTAAAAGGACTGAACATTCTTATACTGTTTCATAAAATAGCAATTCATATGTTACCAGAGGTCAAAGGTGACCAGATACTATATTTAAGGCCAACTTTGAGGAACTTTTACTTTATTTGTACGTTTGTTCCACTACATTTAATTGAGAGCTAGTTTGACTCACTCAATACATTATCTGCGTACAGAAATTAGGATGCATTGTTGTAGATTAGACTACACAAATATGCAAGTAGCTCCAGTGGCTCCTGAATGATGCTTCCTCTTACTTTAGATACTGAAGTACATTTTGCTGTTGAGGCAAGGAAGTTTTAACTGTATACCACCTTCCAATAACAAGCCAGTTCAAAGTGCTGTACGTAAGACACAAAAGGCATTAAAACAAGATACAAAGCAATGGCTGTGACTCAGGCGGTAGAACAGGTTAGAGGTTTAATCCCCAGTTTCTGTCCATGTAAGTCACTTTGGATAAAAATGTCAGCCAAATGATTAAATGTAGATGTAAAAAGACACATTAGCATGTAAAAAAGAGTAAAATAAAATATAAAAACATTTTATAAAACAGAAAATAAAAATATAGTGCAGTTCAAATTTAATTTGATAAAAGGCAGTGGCAACAAGTTTTAAGTATAGATTCAAAACAACTGAGAGTTGAAGCAGACTTCAGGTGGTGGAGTTTGTTTACATTGACATATTTCCACTCTAACCTAAGTATGGAATTAAAAATGTCTTCCACTGTTCTATGTTTACACAGAGAGAACATTACTGTAACAGCAGGGGATGAATTCTCAAGTGGGAATGAAATATCCAAAACAACCACTAGGGGGCGATACGTAGCCATGGAATGAGCTGCAATACTGAGGCCCCTACAGATAACTCCTGCTGCCTTGTGTCGTGACAGAAAAGCATCTCCTTTCTCATGCATGCCTTAATCAGCTCGTACAGTTGGCCTCCACACTGTACACAATTTAAAAAGCATGCGATCCTACTAAACAGCCAACACGAGGCTATTCAACTTGTCTTTTGAGAGACACCGCGGTGGAGTCAACGGTATTGATCCAAATAAGGAATGATAAAAGGAGGGGAGGCTGAGAGCAGGTGGTAGTGGGCCAGCAGATTCAGGGATTTAGTCGCTCACCGGGTATTTATGGTCAGCGCTGCCGAGTGGCGAGGGGGACCAGTACCTACTCGAAACAGATGCTCAAAGCAATGGGATGTGCCCCCATTGTGATCAGAGTGGACAGCTGAATTGTTTACCACCAAAGGGCCCTTTTCTTCAGCGGCAGGCCTGCGCACAATGGGGCCCCCACCGCACTGACACACTGAGGATTTCTGCAGGGGGAAGCAGAGGAGGGTGTGTGCGTGTGTGGTGGGGGGTTACATGTGCATCGAGGGATAGGGGGTTTATAGGGTGAGCCTCTGTCCGTACCCCCTTTTTTCTTTCTCTGTGCTCAGATGGACCTCTGTGTGCCCCCCCCCAGCTCCTCCACAAAGCCCCCCTAAAGCTACCGGAGGGCAGGGGTTTAAATGTCACGCTTGGCCATCAGAGCGCCCAGCCCCCGGCTCGTGTCTCCTGGGGGAAGCACGCCAAGAGACAGGGAGTGGGACGGAGGAAAGCTAAGGGGAGGGAGACACTTGCCCTTGCCCCATTGTCCATTACGATAGGCATGAGCTGCTAACTGACTCCAAATCAAGTGTATCCTCTCGCCACGCGCCCTGGCCTTGTCCTGCTCTTGCTCAAACACAAAGGCCCTCTGTGTTTTTATTTTTTCAACCATCCATAGGTGAATAGCAGCGTTGGTCATGGTATGTTTGACAGAGCAGCTTAAAGGAGGCTGCAGA